TTGTTAAAAGCTTCAGCAAGGCCGTTAGCGGGTGCATTATACATTGAAGACTTGTGTTGCTTGAAACCGAACTTCTCGCACAGACTCTTCACGAGCTTGTTGTCAAATGGCGCTCCATTATCAGTGATTATGTATCTTGGTATGTCATACCTATAATTATATATGACTTGATAAAATCGACAACTGTTTCCTTTTTCACCTCCTTGAGTGGAACAACTTCAACCCATCTAGAGAAGTAGTTTGCAGCGGCCAATATGTATATTTGTCCCTTTGATGACTTTGAAAGCGGTCCAACAACGTCAAGTCCCCATGCATCAAAAGGCCATGAAGCTACAGTTAGATGAAGAAACTCTGAAGGTTAGTGGATGTAGTTGGCATGAAATTGACACGCTTGACATCTTTTGGCATGCTCCATGCAATCTTTCACCATTGTCGTCCAGTAGTAGCCCATCCTCTTGATGCGAAAATAGAGCTTAGGACCAGATTGGTGTGCTCCACATGACCCAGAATGTGCTTCCTCTATCGCTTGACGGGCTTCTTCTTTATCAAGACATCGCAAGAATAGTTCTTCAAAAGAGCGGTGAAACAATCTTCCCTTATAGAAGATGAATCGTGGTGCTCTTCGTTTGATGTCTGTTCTTTGTCGCGGATCCTCGGGTAACTCTCCATGTTCAAGGTACTCTATCAATGGTTACCTTCAATCTTCTTCTTCAATCACTTGAACAGACGTATGATGACTTTTGTTGATTTGAAGATCAAAAAGTCTAGGAATAACCCATCGATGACACACATATACCTTTGCTGACTCATTCTCTCCAAGTGCCATCGTCGTGGCCAAGTTAGCTAAAGCATCAGTCTTGCAATTTTCTTCTCTTGGGACGTGGTTTAAAAACACTTGGTCGAATATTTCAAGTAAAGAAGAAGCATATTGATAGTATGACAAGAGATCTTCCTTCTTTACCCCGTAACTCCACAAAGGTTGGTTGATGAGCAGCTTAGAGTCGTCGTAGATCTCCAACTGTAGAATCTTCATGTCTAATGCCATTTCGAGACCGACGATCAAAGCTTGGTACTCTGCAGCATTATTAGAGCATGTTTCACCTAAAACAAAGGAGAATGGAAAGACTTGTCTTTCTGGAGAGATCAACATAGCACTTGCCCCCGAACCGTTACGACGTGCAAATCCATCGAAGAACATTGTCCATGGTGGCAATTCTTCAATGAACAAAAAGTCTTCATTTGGGAACTCATTAGAAAGTTCCCATTCCGCTAGAAGAGGGTGATCAACTAGAAAATTGGCTTATGTTTGTCCTTTCATAGCCTTTTGAGGTGTGTACATGATCTCATATTGGTTAAACAATATGGACCATCTTGCTAGGCATCCAGAAAATAGATCCTGTTTAAATTAAGCTAGAAATGTGTTTGTACTCTTGAAAAAGTATGCTTTATAGTATGACTTTTCTATGAAGGACTAAACTGGCTTGGAGTTGACTAACAGGCTAATCGAAGCTGGAATTCTCTGTGGCGCCACATAAGTGATGAAAGTATCAATTAGACAACTTTGAGTTGCATTCTTAATGTCCGGGCAATGTTATTCCCCTTAATTGTGATAGTATTCTATATAGGTATGACATACAAAAACTATAGAGTACTTGTTAGAACTATCGTTTTACCTGCTCTTCTATTTTGTTAAATTGAGATTATGCACAGGTTGTAGTATGTCCTTTTAATCAGGTCTTGGATTTAACAGAACAAGTTTCTTGGCTGGCCAATCTGTATGATACTATATTTGCAGCCATAACATTGTCTCTGTCTTCCTTTGTCTAATCATATGGGGGATCTAAGCCTTACCCACTTGAAATCACTTGCTTTGTGTGTATGTATGTTCAACTTTTGTGCTTTATGAAAGAGATCATGAGGACAAAAGACTGTAGTATACTGACCAATATGGTAGCGCTTAGCCATGCCCAATTGCCAGTGCTTGTTCCAAAAGTCAGGCACAACAGAAGGACTTGTCTTCGGAATTTCTTATGACTTGCAGCTAGGTCATATCAGAGGGATAAAAAGAGGTTTACTTGACTGTCTCTCTTCATTAGAGAAGCTTTGCTGTGTTTTCTCTTAAATACATCTTTTTGAAGGAAATGGATGTACCAATAGGGAGCTTAAGAAAGGGATTTGAACCCTCCAATTTGTTACGCAATCGACCATAGATCAATTCCCTCTTTGTTTAAATAACATTGGTGCAAGGACCAATTTATGCACACCTTGGCTAATCTACTGAATACTTGTTACCCCAAACCATACATGTAATGTTGCCCATCAATGTTTAGATAGATAAAGAAAAACCGCCTAGTTATTTGTCTTAGTTGCGATTTGAATCCTGATTTTTCATGCTTTTCCAGCTTCATTTGGCCGCTATGACACACCCTTCTTTGCATGTCTATGTTTTGGATGCTTTGCACCTTTGAGGCCATATTTTTATATGTCATGCAATAACTTGTGTAGCATTCAATCTAATAAATAAAAGTTTTGCCTTGTCAGGGTAGATGGAGCGTGGTTATGGATTCGATGACCTGCATGAGCAGATATAGTCAACTTGGTCTCTAGTTCACAACTGTTTGTTGAATCAGAGCAGGAGTAGTGAGTCATCAGAGGTCTTATTGCCATATGGTTGTTGCATCTCTGCTGAGCAAACAAAATCAGTAGCCCATCCAATGGTAATTTTGATTTTTAATCCCTTATTATGGATTGAATTAACTGTGTACTGATAGGTCCATTGCTATTGATGTATCTGCTGTGTTTATGCAGAACTCCTTTTGAAGGTTGCAATCCTCATAAGCACATTCCACAATTCTCTAAATAGAACCCCCTATAGCTAGAGTTGTGATATCTTGATGAGCATTTTCCCTTGAATTCTAATAAAGCTTGGCATTTGCAGTTATGGTATCAGAAGTTCCTTTAAGCAGTGCTCAGGCATAGCATTTACAACAACTAAATTTGTACGGGAAAAAGCAAATGAAGGTTGTAGTACCGGATTTATCTTGTGCTGTAATATTTGGGATTTGTTGCAAGTCTTCTACTAGATTAAATTCCCATGCTCCAGGTGGTTCAAACTTAAGTTTCTGATTATTCGAGGATTATTTTTATTTACCTGTTTCCATATATCCCTAATAAGTATTTAAAAATATGTTTTGGGATATTTATATCGAAGTATGTGTTGAAGATTCAAGGGGGTGCTTTTTGTGGTGTCTTTCCATGGGTTTCAAGTGGTTTGAAAACAACATGGAGAAGTAATGAGAATTTGACAAGATTGGTTGCCCTTTCTCCGCTATGTTTATTTCCTTTTCTGAGCAGAAGACCAACAAAGCCTTCTTTTGGCTATAAGCTGTGATAATTTCTAATCTTCAATTTGCTAAAACCCCAGGGAAAGCTGTGATCATCTTTCTTTTCTTGTTTTCAGTTTCTCCAAGCTAACTTGTTTAGGACTAAGATGTAGTTGTATATTCTGAGAAAGTTCTTAGGGACAATAGCGAAGCTAAATCTTTATTTATTTGCTGGCGATTGAACCCAATGATATGTGCTGAAGTTGTTTGGCATGTCTAAGTTATTTTATTATCTCGTTCCATAATTTTAGCTGATTTCTATTTGGGTTTCGTTTGGCTTATGGCTATATGCTTTGATATATCTCTGCAGATACGTTCTTACGCTTTCCACTTGGATGTTAGTTGGCTCGTTTCTGCTGTTAATCATAAATTAATTTTTATGTTTTATGCCATTTTTCAATTTTTATTTGTTGATGTTTAGTTTTGGTTTGTGTTGTTCACTCTTTCACTTTGTAAAATTTCTGTTACTTCTGATTGTCTTTGAATTACATGAATCAAATTAACATTTTAGAGTGTATTTGAATAGACATGAACCAAAATAGAATAGAGATGCCAATTGAGTGTAAATTTTAGAAAATTTTCAGTGCTGAATTGATCTGCTTTTTGTATTTGTTAGAAGAGTTTAAGTTATATACGCCACTTACACCGTCAGAACATCAGTATCACCTGCGGCAATTAATAATTTTTCGATAGCTTCTACCCCAGCAGGGTGATGTGACTTACATTTGATAACAACATACTTCAAGAGCTAATAGTCAAATTGATAACTGTGGTGTCGGAATTTATTTGCGTGCACCTTAATTAGTTCGTACTAAGTAATTTTGCTTACCAAAGCTTGAACAGAGAGTAAATAACTTATTAGTTTTTTTTTGTGCCTTGTTAAAATTTCAACCTAAAATTTTATGATTTTTAACCCATTTTATTGACAACTAGCTACACACTTAAATGTCATTTTGATAAACTTGAACACAAGTTTTTCCCTCTAGGCTTTAACTTCTTTTCTATCCCATATTTGCTTGAAAATTTTAGTTTTAACATTTTTCAATACACTTGTACTTCATACAAATACAACAACAACGACGACGACCTAGTGAAATTCCACTAGTGGGGTATGGGGAGGGTAGTGTGTACGCAGACCTTACCCCTACCCCGAGGGAGTAGAGAGACTGTTTCCGAAAGACTCTCGGTTCAAGAAGACGAAAAAAGATAATATTAGTAACACTAATAGAAACCATAGGAAAAATAGTATCATGTAAATGAGAAAGTAAATGCAAAGCAAACGTAATAAAAGGTACATAGACGCGACACTATGAAAAATAAAACAGTAGTAAGACATAACATTGTCACTAGCTGACATCAGCAAAAATCCTATCATACTAGCCCCATAAAGGTACAAAGTAAGGTATACTCAACTACCTCCTAATCTACCATCCTAATACTCAACCTCCACATTTTCCTACGAAAATCATGTACTCGAAAATGTGAAACCTATCAACTCTCCCCAATTACAAATACGAATTCTATAAGTCGATATCTTTTCATTATAGTATTCCTAAAAACTGTATATCCATTGGCATTGACATATATGCCCTTTGATTCCGCCTCCCCAAAAAGTTTTGCCCTATTTACACAGACGCTTCAACCAGAAATTAGCTTTGAGCATAGCCTTAGAAAAGAAAGAAGAATGAGGCATCAGAGAGATTGGGATTTTCTGTAAAAGGGTAGTTGCCCCTCTCTGTTATGCCTGTGATTTCTCCATTAAAAATCAACAGCCCTTTCAATTAAAATAAAATAAAAAAAATCATCCAAACAGACCCCTAATATATTCCTCTTTCTCTTCCTCCTCTCTTTGTGCTGCTGAATACTGATGTATATAAAGGGACTGTGATGATTGCTTTTCCTTTCTGGGCTATGTTCAATTCATGACATTGAGAAAATATCCGACCCGTATCTTGGCGGGGCGACCCGATAAGGCTTTTGTATAGCAAACTGGTGTCTGCAGCCATGGCGGCGTCGCCTTCTCTTTTGCTTTGATAAAAAAAAAACAGCAAATCTGAGCCCTCACAAAAGGCCCTTGTAATAGCATGTTTGGCCGTGCTTCTAAAATCAACTTATTTTGTAATAGCTTGTTTGGTCGTGCTTCTAAAATCAACTTATTAGATTTAAGAAACTAACCCTTATTTTTTGAGACCTCACAAGTCTGCAATTATGAAAAGGGAAAAGGTTAGCCCAGAAGAATTAAAGAAATGAGGCAAAAACAGTGAGTTTGGGATTTTCTTTGAAAGGGTGGTTGCCCCTCTGTTTCACCATTGATTTTCCTCCGTTATTTAAAAAAAAAAAGAACCAACAGCCCTTGTTTATGTCTTTATGACAAAAAGCAGAAGCAATAGGGATAAGGCTGCATATTCACTATTCTCCCCGAACCCACTTGTGTTATTATACTGTATTTGTTGTTGTTGTTGTTGCTGCATACTGACATCTCTGTGTGTTCTTTTATAGTATTGATGGAAGGTACATAAAGTGGCAGTGATGATGTTTCTATATCTTGGCTAACCGATTTGGGCATTGAGATGACCCGACCTGTATCTTGGCGTGGCAGCACGGTATGTCCTGTGATTGAGATCTCTCACATGCAACCGGTGTTTTTGCAGCCATGGCGTGGTTGGCTTCTCTTTTGCCTTATCATAGCACACATCTGAGCTCCATTTGCTTGAAAGTACAGAAAACAGAATCTTTTCCATTTGAGTATGATTGACTGCTTGAAAGAGGCGATGATGATTTTTTGTCAATCTTCTATTCCCTTCTGAGCTTGTCAGTTGGGCATTTGAGTGGATTCGACTCGTATCTTGGCAGGGCATGCCCCCAGATTTCTGGTGTTTTTTTGCAGCCATGGCGTCGTGGGATCTCCTTTTGCTTGAGTTATAACACAGATCTGAGCCTCAAAACCGTAATAGGATCTACCCAGTTGGACCGAAGCAGGGGTGATTTGCACAAATAGGATGCTTTGAGGCCACTATTTATATTTTGTTGCGTAAGTATTTCTGCATGCAGAGAGCTGTGGGGGTGTTTCAATGGGTGGTTTTGCCCCTCTCTGTCATTCTGCACTGCCAATGATCACTCAAATGAAAAACTTTTCCAATTACAAAACCACCCTTTTGGTGAAAATACATATGACCTTGCTAGTTTCCTTTTCTTGTTATTCCCTCGGTTTCATTTTATGTGCAGTGAGGCTATGAAGATTTTGTTCTTCTTTGCAATAAGATTCAGATATCTTTCTATTACAACAACAGCAACATACCAATAAAATCCTACAATTGTAGTCTGGGTAGTGTGTACGCAGACTTTATCCCTAACCTTGTGAAGATAGAGATGTTGTTTCCGATAGAGTTATAAAAAATCAGAATTTGAGATTATCCGGACCATATCTTGGCGGGGCATGCCCCCAGATTTCTGGTGGTTTATGCAGCCATGGCGTCTTCGGATAGCTTTCTGCATCTGTCTAGTTGAAGTGTCCCGATGACTTTTCATGACAAGTTTGAGGGGCTATCTATGTATTCTGCCTATCTGAAATAACTATACAATACAATACAATGGTAGCAACCATCCAAACAAGCTGTTATTAGTCTATTTGGTTTAGAGACGAGTTATGCCAGTGGTGGTGAGCATGATTGACGGCTTGAAAGTGGTGATGATGATTTTGTAAATATTTCATTCCCTTCTGAGCTTATTAATCAGGCATTTGAGATTATCTGACCCGTATTTTGGCGGGGCATGCTTTAGGTTTCCCTTGGTGGTATTTGCAGCCCTCGTGTCGTCGGACTCTTTTTGCTTGAGTTATAACACAGATCTGAGCCTCAAAAAGGAAGCACAAAAATGGTGATAATCTCGTTAGTTTAAGTCTAAGGCTGTGGTGAAAGCAGAGAGCTGTGGGGAGTTTCTATGGGTGGTTTTGCCCCTGTCTTTTTCTGCTGCCGATGATCTCTCAAATGAAAAATTCTCCAGTTGCAAAACCACCCTTTTGGTGAAATTTCAGTTGACCTCCCTCTTTTCCTTTTCTAGTAACTCCCTCCGCTTTATTTTATGTGCAATGAAGCTATGAAGATCTTCTTCTTCTGTGGATGATGAATCAGATGTATCTTTCTAATGAGCTGAAAAAATCTGTATCTTGGCGTGGCAGCTCAGATGGGTGTTTGAGATATTTGGAAAAATTCCATTTTTTTGGTTTTTCTTCTGTATCTCACAAGACTACATTGCCTTGATTTTGTTAAAAGAATGAGCTTTTAGACTCGGAAAATGAAGGAGTTCCTAAGGGTGGTTGGTCTGTTTCTCTTTGAGTTGATACGTATCTTGGCTTCAAGACTGAATCTAGACTGTAAAAAGACTGAACAATATTTTTGAGCTAATTCCTGGCTTGGCAGTTGGCACTTGGAAGGTCTAGCACTGTACTTTTTACAGTTTTACTTGAGATGTAAAACTGTAAAGTTGCAGGTATTCAGCATTCTTGAAGACACAGTTTCAGGTATTACATACTCTTTGCTATTAGGATGAAATGTTTGAATGAAGCGCGAATCTAGATTCTTATATGCCTTTTTCCCATGTTCTTGTTTGCAAACTGCTTTTGGATTTCTTTGCTAAAATCACTGTACACTTTAGCTGCAACTGGACTAGAAGCTTAAAACAAAGAAGAGATCTAGAGCGAGAGATTGGGAATAACTAGTATTTTGTTTCTTTTGTATGAAAAAGCTTTTAATTTTCAGAAAGCTCTCGCTCTATTATTTGTTTTATTTGTATTGCAAGGTCAAAGAGAAAATTTGCAAGAAGCTTTGTTGTTGCTCTGAATTAATTAATTGATGAAGCATCCTGATGTATACAGGGAAGTAATTAAAGCATGTGTGTTCCTCCTGTTAAAATAAAAAAAATAAAAAAGCATGTGTCTGTTCCTTTTTCGCGTTAAAAGTGGTCATCTTTGTGTATGTGCATGGTCGAGTGGGTCTGAGATTTTGATCTCTGAAGAGCTGCATCTTTGATTAATTGAGACCATCCACATGCAACTAATTCTCTCTGAGGGCTAATTAATGGCTTACGACATTGTTTCATGATGTCTAATCATTTTCTTGATCCTGCAGGACTAGTTACAGGAAGTGAAAACTATGAAGAAAAACTGAATTTAAGTAGAGTGAGGTTCCTATTCAATTGACAAAGTTGGATTTTTTTGCAAGCTATAACTCAACCAAACATCAGAAATAATACTTTTTCAAAGTGCATATTTTCTAGCACGGTAGCAATGGAGAAATAAGGTGACTGATAGAAGTTTGCTGAACCAAAAGCACAAACGTTATAGGATCGTTTTCTGCTGTTATGTGGAAACTTGTTATCTCTGTAGAAATGGTTGACACAGGGCCAACGCAAATATGAGATTATCGTCTATACTAGTTCTAGTTCTTGCTCCTTTTTAACGCTCAAAAACCTCATGAGTTTAATACTTAACATATAAGCCTGTCAAATGACATCGAAATCATTACCAAAAGAAGTAGAATAGATCAAAAAAGTGGAGAAGTAGAATCATTTTTGGAGAAACAGAAAAAAATAGATTCTCTCTAAAAGCATTTTTTATAATAGCATTTTTGATAAAAATACACTTAGAAGCAATTTTTAAAAGCTTGGCTAAATACTAAGGACCTGTTTGGCTATAGATTTTGCCAAATTGTTTTTGGCAAATATATGTTTGTTCATAATTTTTTTTTTCATATTTTGGCAAATTTCCGGCCCAAAATATTATTGTTATATTTTTTTCAAGTTGTTCCAAGCTTTTGTTTTTTATAAAAGAGCCCACCATTTATTATTTTGTAATGATGTTGCTTCGTCTTTTCAGTCATCTGATAGTGTATTATGTAGTTCATTATAAAAATGATAATTTTGTACCAAATTTATTTATGTTTAGGATTACAATTTGTGATAATGATAATGAATAGATGAAGGTACTGTTGGGTATTTGTGATAGTTTTTAGAACTTGTGGGTCGTGTTTCATATTTTTCAAAAAAAAAAGTGAAATATATTTTGAAAACTGATGTCCAAATACATTTTCATCTTAAAATCAAAAATTTTTAAAATCAGATTTTTCAAAATAAATTTGGGAATATTTGGCCAAATGTTAGCTAATTGTTGCTCATAAGTGCTTTTCAAATTAATTAGTTTTTATGTAACTCGCGTCATGTTAGTATTAATATTATATACAACGAGAATAAATTAAGTATAATGGCAATTAACATCCAAATATATTCAACATGCAGTTGACATAAAAAATAGTGAGTGTAATTACTTAGATGTAATAGGTGAATTTAAATATGTTGGACATCTTACCTAATATCTCTCTATAGACTGTGTTCTTGGTGTATGTCCTTTTCCATCTTACTTTGTCATGACCAAAACTCTTGTTTTTGACATCAATATACCTCTTGAAAGTACAACTTATAGTTACCCATGTGAAACAATATGTTGCAGCAACTACATGCTTATGTTGAGGATTGTTTGACCATGTGCTTTATTTATTGTCATTGAAAAATATGAACATACTGATAATTATTTTTTGATGAATTTAAAAGATCGTCCTTTATTTTTTGGAGGCGAAAATTGTATTCTTGGGATAAATAAATGCTTGGAAGTATTTTGGCTAATCATTATATCATTCTTGTATCATTGGAGGAGCCATTTGATGGATCCAAATTCCTTAGTAACATAATTGATCCATTTTCCTTTAATGCCAACCTGTATTCCAAAAAAATTATTTGTAGGTAATCATGCATGTGTGAAAAAGAAATATAGTTATAGAAAATATACGAAGGATCATTCTATTTGTAATTAATATTCAGAAGTTCATGTCTTTGGTTTATTATTTTTTTCATTGTTTCATAAGATATTGTATTATGTCATATTGTATTGTATTGTATTTATGAATACAACGTTTGAATTAATTGTATTATTTGTTGAGAGTTATAATATATTCAAGTTTAATTTGACTTAAAAATATCGGCAAGTTTGATAAAATACCCTTAATTACTATAACTATTGATTTTAATAATAATTACTAATAAAATAATTTAAGACAACTTATTTGTCCTTATTGATCACCAGCTATGCTTGTACATGTATTAAGTTAATAAATTCATGCAATTCTTAATGAAATTAAACAATAATAAGATAATAACAAAAATAACTTATTTTTCTTGTTGAGTATTTCATGGCACCACTTTTCTTGAATGAAAATTTCCGCCCTGATGTTTTATCAGTTTTTAGTATTTTAAAATTTAATTACAGAATCAGCTGCTAATAAATACAGTCATGTATTGTCTTAGAAATGTGCTTTTGAAATAATATATGAAGTTTCATTTTCTTCTATCTTTTCCTGGCATTTGTCTTTCATTTATTTAAATTGTTGTTATTGAGTTCTTTATCTTCATCATATTACAGGCTTGTTCTTATTTTTATTAGGTTGTTTTACTTCTAATATATAATTGTATTTTAATAAAATAAGTGAATTTAGTAACACTCAAGCCGAACTTGAAATAAGTTGTTTAACGTTATTTTATTTACCATGTAGTACTTTCTATTTTTTTACTTGAGTCTTTATCGTGTATTTTCATTTATGGAGCCTTCCCTAAGCTTCCTGCTTCTGCTATTCATGCTTTTACCAAACCTTGCATCAGATAACTTTAAGGAAGAACTCGTTAATTGTGATAACCCAAAATATAATCTTTAAATTTAATAATTAATTTTGTATTCTAAGACCTCAAAAAGTACTATTTATCATTCCTCGACTTGCGTGCGCAATCCGTAAAATTTTCCGGAAAGTTTTCAGGTGAAAAATGAATTAAAATGTGAATTAGAGCTTTAAAACTTAACTGAGTTGACTTTGGTCAATATTTTTAACAAACGGACTCGGATCAATATTTTGACAGTTCCGGTAGGTTCGTATCGTGATTTGGGACTTAGGTGTATACCCGGAATCAAATTCCGAGGTCCCTAACCCGAGATATGAAATTTTGATGAAAAATTAAAAGTTTAAGTTCAAATAGTGACCGGATGTCAAATTATGTGCAAACGATCCCGGAAAAGAATTTTGATAATTCCAACAGCTCCGTATGGTGATTTTGGACTTAGAAGCATGATCGAAATTTTATTTGGAAGTCCGTAGTGGAATTAGGCTTGAAATGCCAAAAGTTGAATTTTTGGGAAGTTTGACCGTGGGTTGACTTTTTGATATCGAGGTCGGAATCCGATTCTGAAAATTGGAATAGATCTGTTATGTCATTTATGACTTGTGTGCAAAATTTGAAGTCATTCCGAATTGATTTAATGTATTTCGGTAGAAGATATAGAATTTGAAAGTTCAAAGTTCATAGATTTTGATTTGAGGTGCGATTCGTCGTTTTGATGTGGTTTGAAGCCTCGTCTAAGTTCGTATTATATTTTGAGACATGTTGAAATAATTGGTTAAGGTCCCGAGGGTCTCGGGTGGATTTCGGAAGGTAAACGGAATGAATTTCCGATAAAGAGGGTTGCTGGAAATTTGCAAAAATTTCGCCAGAAATTTGCAGAAAGTTCGCAAGAAATTTCTGGTGCGTGGAGCCAACTTTGAAAGCTTATATATCGTAATTCCTAAGGAATCGGAAAATCATCAAAACATAAAAGTTGTAGTCGTTTGATTCTAGTTTCCAAAAAGTTAAACCATTCATTATTTGGACATTTGTACAGAAAGTTATGATAGATTGAATGAAGGCTGGTAGAACAGTTTCGCCAGAAATTCTGATGCGTAGAGCCGACTTTGGAAACTTATAACTCGCAATTCAAAAGTAATTGGAAAAGTTTCAAAACATTAAAGTTGTAGTCGTTCGCTTCTAGTTTCCAGAAAGTTAAATCATTCATCATTTGGACATTTGTACATTAAGTTATGATCGATTGAAGGAAGGCTGGTAGAGCAGTTTCTGGTGGACTTTTAGTGACGGAAAATGGACTTTTAGTGACGGATGAGAAGAAACTTAAGGACCAAAAATGGTCATTTCCTTCATTTCATTTTGGATTTTTGGAGCACGGTTCTTGGGCGATTTTTGGGCAATTTTCACGGAAAAACATTGGGGCAAGTGTTCCTTATCCTATATTGTTTATATTTCATGATTCCATACTCATTTACATCATGAATCCGTGAATTTATGGAAGAACAATCAAGATTTTTGCAAAAT